ATACATTAAATTATATGATAGTAATGAAATATGCAAAAAATAGTAATTTAAGAAAAAATTTATTAAATATAGTTAAATATAGATAGGTTATTAAATTATTACAATTAAATAATATTATCAGTGAACTTAATGAAATACATCAAAAAAATCTTATTCATTGTGATTTTCATCATGGCAATATTTTAAATATTAAAAACAAAATTTTATCTATTAGTGATTTGGGATTATGTAAACCTGTAAATTATTTTCAATCATTTAAAAATAATGATATTTATGGTGTTTTACCATTTGTAACACCTGAAGTTTTAAGAGGCCAACCTTATACTTTAGCTAGTTATATATATAGTTTTTCTATAATCATGTGAGAGTTGATATCTGGAGTTTTTCCATTTGATAATAAAGCTCATGATTTTCAACTTAGTTTAGATATTTGTAAAGGTAAATGTCCTAAAATCATTGAAAATACTTCACAATGTTATATAGATTTGATGAAAAAATGTTGGAATATAAATCCATTAAAAAGACCAACTGCAACAGAAATTAAAAAGATTATTGAAAATTGGAAAAAAAATATTACTATTAATAATTTTAATAAAGAATTAAAGAAGGTAAAGAAGGATATTTTAGACTTTTATAAAGCAGATAAAATATTAAATCAAAAGCAAAATAATGATTCAGATAATAATAAAATTATTACTAAATCTCATTTATAAGCATATCATACAAGTCGTTTACTAGATTTTACTGAAAAATTAAATAAGATTTTAGAATTTGAAAATAAAAATTTAGAAATTATTGGTAAGTATAGTAATTATTATTAAATTTATAAATTTATAAAACATATAAATTTATTTATTATTTTAATTCTAATATATATTTAATTTAATAGAGAATTTAAATATTATGAATGAAAAAATAAGCAAATAGTTTAATTTAATATTCAATTATATATATATAATAATATTTAATTATATTTTAAATTATATATTTGAAATTTTTTTATTTATTAATTTGTTTAAATATATTAAAATATATTTATATTATTTAATAAACACTATTTTATTTAGAGTAATCATTAAATAGCAAAAAATAGTTTGTAATCATTAAATATATAAATAATTTTTTTTTTATTATATTAAATATTTAATTATTATTATATATTTTAAAACTTTATTTTATAAATTTAATTATTAAAATTATAATTTGTTATTTTTTAAAAATTACTAAATCTTCTTATTTTATTATTATTATCAATAATTATACATATTGTATTTATATATTTTATATAAATTTAATATAATATATATTTATTTTATTAAATATAAATATTATGTTTAATAAAAACTATTTATTTAATTTCTGATCATTTTAATAATTATATGAAAATTATCTTAAGAAACAATATAAATATTTTTAGTATAATAATAAAAATTAGGGTTCTGCAATTCGATTTAATATTTGAATATTTGATTTGATTAAATTTAAATCAAAGAATAATTTATTTGATCAAATTTAAATTAATGTTTGATTTGATTCGATCAAATTCAAATCAAATATTCAAATATTTGATTTGATTTGAATCAATAGTAAAGCTATCTCCATAGTTTTAGGAGTACCTCTTACTAAGAAAACTATAGTAAAAAGTGCCTTTGCAGCTTCAAAATGACTTTTTTACTAAGAAAACTATAGCAAAAAGCATATCAACAGCTTCAGAAATACATTTTTACTAAGATAACCATAGCAAAAAGTACCTCTACAGCTTCGAAAATGCCTTTTTTACTAAGAAAAATATAGTAAAAACGCCTTCACAGCTTCAGAAACATTTTTTATTAAGAAACCTAGTAAAAAATGCGTCTGCAGCTTCAGAAATGTTTTTTTACTAATAAAATTGTTATGAAGCCGAGATGGAAGTTATTACTAAGTTTTCTTAGTAAAACTGAAGTTGTGATAATGGTGATTACTAAGTTTTCTTAGTAAACCAAAGTCGCAATGGGATGATTACTAAGTTTTTTTAGTAAACCGAAGCTGTAATAGCAGTTATTACTAAGTTTTCTTAGTAAATTGAAACCGTGATGGCAGTTATTACTAAGTTTTCTTAGTAAAACTGAAACTGCGGAGTTATTTTACTAAGTTTAATAGTAAAAATTCACCTGTTACTAAACTTACTTTGTAAAAGCTATCTT